ATTATCAAAAATCTGCTGATATGGGCAATGCAGTCGGAATGAATGAAGTTGCTTACTGCTATGGAAATGGAATTGGAGTTGAAAAGGATAAACATAAGGCATTCATTTATTATCAAAAATCTGCCAATATGAGTAATGTTAATGGAATATTTCAAGTTGGTTATCGTTATCATCACGGAATCGGAGTTGAAATTGACGAATATAAAGCGTTTACTTATTATCAAAAACATGCTAATATGGTGCTAGTAAAATAGACGTCTTGGATGATATTATCAAACCTTTTTATCAAAAATATGCAAATATGGACATTCAATTGAAATATTTAAGCCAGAATATAATGTATTACTTATTTTCAAAACGTGATAGTTTGCTAAGACTAGTTTCATCATAACATCTTATTATTAAAAAAAACTCCATTTACGTACTATTGAATATATGTGCGCATACGATACATGAAAAATATGAATATATGCATATCGCATATTCCGGTTTATTCTGATTCAGATTCAAATTTCCTCTGAATCACTTCAATTTTCTTTATAATCTGAAGTAATTTCTCATAGAATAGAATTTAAACCACAAATGACTCAAGAAAACTCATTTTTGATATTTAAAGTAATGTCATAAATTTTTTGTGTTTCTTTACATAATCCCATTTCCATAATGTATATGTTAAATAATAATATTAAAATATATTATCAACTATATGCTTATTTAATAGCTTGATTTATATTCAAGTTTTAAATTTAATAAAATTTTTTTACAAATGAAAGACCATACGAAAATAATATTGATATCAAAGAATATTTTTGACAAACATAAGATTAATTTATCATGGATTTACTATAGTGAATTTGATGATATTAACGATGATTTTGCACCAGTATTCACGTATCAAGGAAAGTAGCATTTAAATTACCTCATGCAGTATATGTCAAACTATTTCATAAAGAAGTAATTAAAGTTTATTATCTTTTATAATAATAACTCATGTCATAATATTTAATATTAATAATCTATATTTTAATTTTATAGTTAAAGGCATATTGTGATATTAATTGCGAAAAACTCACATTTTTAAAAGGATCCGTATTATTTCTCAACAATCACTTCATAGACCCCACATTTCACCGACAATTCACCGACAAGTTCATTTTACCGACAGTCTATTCACCGAAGTTCAATTTCACCGAAAGTTTTTTTTTAAATTACACCAAATTTTAACCTGACACTTATGATATTGACCAGAATTACTTTGTCTGCAAAATAACTTCGGTGAAATAAACTGTCGATGAAATGAATTTGTCGGTAAGTAATTGTCAGTGAAATGTGGTGTCTACGAAATGATTGTCGGTGAGTTGATCAGAACCCTTTTTTCTTTTTAAAATTTATGGAATATCAAAAAATTTTCAGAAAATCACATATTGTTTTCAAATTGCTGATTTAGGTTCTTTGCGTAAAAACATTCATCATATACAAACTTTAGGGTGGAATGATAAGTTAAATTATTACACTGCATTATTATATCAAATAATTCATTATTTACCGATATTTACACAGCGGTAATGTGTTGCGGGATTACATATTTAAGACTTTCTATATCATTATTATAAGCAGGTCAGGCAGAATTTATGCAATTTTAACGTACATAGCACCAGGAATTCTGATTGAAAGACATCTATTCATTTGTATAATCATGTGGGAAAATCTTGCATAGGAAATCAATTTCTTATGACCAAGAAATTCGAAGTAAAATATGTGATGATAACTTATGATCAAAAATTTTAGAAAATAAACCATAATGCTATATATATATTTAATGATGGAACGCTGGGAAAAAGAACCATAAAGCGACCATCGGAGCACTCTATATGTCCTTTGGCAAACGGAATATAAAATATGTTTGTCTTCATAGGTAGTAATTTTAAGATTCAAATTCTCAAATAATACCGAGCAAATAAACTCGATTGATAATTCGTGTACTCTTTGGGCTGATTCGTGAATCACGATTTGACACGAATAAAATATGTTAACATTAAAATAACTCACTATCATTAAATCCGAATTCTTAGTAAACATCCATCCCACATAAAATATGCTAAGACCCTGTGTAATTTGACTTCACGTTAGCCAAGTCTCTTCATGGTTTCGGCACTAGATAGTACTCTACCTATTTGTGTATCATATCACAGAATATTGTGTAACGGTAATAATAATAAATTCCGACATTGAATCGTACGTACGTACCTACCTACCTTTTCATCATGTCTAATGAAAAAAGCTTACCAATCATTTACAATAATCCATCTACAGAATCGTCGATAAAAAGCACTATTCATAATAATAAAGTAGTTAATGCTTTAAAAGGAGCAAATTTATTGTTACATGATTCACAGGACTTTTTAAACAAAGTTATCAAAGAATTATGTGATTTGTACAATGAAGAAATTAAGAAAGGAAGTTATGTTGATTCATTTTTTTACTCAATTGAAAAACATATAGCAAATAACCATCAAAAACCAGAAGAAATAATTGATTTATGTTTAAACAAACAAATAAATCCTATTATTCAAAATAACTCTATAATTCAACATATTCTTGCAATGTGTTATCATCATGGCAAATTGATTAAAAATTATAAAAATAATAATCATCTAGCATTTATTCATTATCAAAAATCAGCTGAATTAGGAAATTCAAATGCAATGGCAGATCTCGGCTTTTGTTATAAGTGTGGAATCGGAGTTGAAAAAGATTATTATAAAGCATTTATTTGTTATCAAAAGTCGGCATATTTGGAAGATGCATACGGAATTAATTCCCTCGGTGATTGTTATCGAGATGGAATTGGAGTTGAAAAGGATATAAATAAGGCACTAATTTATTATCGAAAGTCAGCCGAAATGGGTCATGCTATAGGAATGAACAGTCTTGGATATTGTTATCTAAATGGATTGGAGTTGAAAAGAACGAGAATAAGGCATTCACTTATTATCAAACATCTGCTGATATGGGTAATGTTAGTGGAATAATCTGGCTTGGATATTGTTATCAAAAAGGAATTGATGTTGAAAAGGATGAGCATAAAACATTTATTTATTGTCAAAAATCTGCTGATATGGGTAATATTAGTGGAATATACATTCTTGGAGATTGTTATGAAAATGGAATTGGAGTTGAAAAGGATAAACATAAGGCATTCATTTATTATCAGAGAACTGCTAATATGGATGATGCAAATGGAATATATAAAGTTGGTTATTGTTATCATTATGGAGTTGGTGTAGAAATAAATGAATATAAAGCATATATTTATTGCCAAAAACATGCTAATATGGCGCTAGAGAAATAACATGTTTGGGCATTATTTGTCAAAGCGGAATTAAAGTTAAAAGGAATGAATTCAATGAAATTCTTTATATCAAAAATATGCCAAAATGACTATATTTTAATTGATATATTTCGTATTTACTTGTGTGGAATTGAAAGTGACAATTCAAAAATTTGACATTTTTGAAAGTTAGCGAAATGGACTTCTTGAATATTGTTATAGAAATGACTCAAAAAGACAATTGTTGATATCAACAGTAATGTCATTTTTATACCGTATGCGTTGATAACATGAGAAATTATTTAATAGATTATTTATTTCTAGATTTATATTCTCGAGTTTTACTGTAAATTTAATAAATTTAGTTACGAATAAAGATGATATTGTGCTTTTTCTTAGAATGACTTGCATATTAATGTTTAACATTACTCTTCAATTTTATAGTTAAAGATAATATTAATTTCGAATGTCCCATATTTTTACAATGCTATGGGATCTAAAAGATTGTTCTGAAAATTGTTAAACTTGATATTTTAGGTCCTTTGCGTAAAAACATTCACCAAATGTCAACAATAAAAAGTTAAATTATTGCATCGCATTGCAAATAATTCATTCGAAAAAAAAAACTATTCATCAAATTAAGATATGGTAATATCTTGCAAAATGCTTTGTATAACGCACATATTACTGACTTAGGGCTTTCCGTATCATTTGATATGACATTAGAAGTAAGGTCTGGCGGAGTTTATGGAATTTACCGTATATGACTCCAAAGGTTTTAAAAGTACGATATAAATATCTATTCATATAATACAGTATAATCATGTCGGAAGTTTTGTAAGAAAAACTAGTTTCATATCAAGAGATTGGACCAAAACTTTAAATAAAATTTTGGAACTTCTCTCAATTATTAAATTTATTAAATTTTATTTCCATCTGGCATTATGCTATTATACCTATATAGGGAACAAATTTTCGAGTCAAATTTTTTTCCATAGAGGACATCTACTGAACATCAAATCTTCTCAAATCTAAAGGTTTGTTCTCATGAGAACTTTAGAACATAAGATTTCTAACACTGGTCATATCCGGATAGTTGTTTTTGAACGCGTTGACTATCCGGACATCCGGATCCCAACACTACTGAATTACAAACATAAATGAGATTTTTAAAGCTTCCACTTATTTTTGAAATATGTAACTTCAAACCCCTAATAATGCATAATATATATATAAATTTAACAATAATACTATTTTTAATCTTTATGTGTAGGTAATGGGCAAAATAAATAATGATTCCGATGGACGTTTCCATTTGAAAAATAAATATCTGTCATAGGTTTATTTTTGTGATCCATTAAAATAGACTTAATAAAATTCTTTACTTTGATTAGTAGATATGGTTTAAGCGCTCGCTAAAAATTAAATTTACGGAAAATTTTTAAAATTATTTATGAAAACATTTTGGCGTCGAAATACATTCTTTACTAAGACTGACTTCATGCAGAAGCTTTGAATGTAGGTGACTTTACCCATGGCTTTAAACAAACACAATTAAGTATTGATATGTACAATGATATTCGATATTTTATTATTTATTGTTTTGGTTTTTTAATAATGCCAATACAATTCTAATGCCTGCTTAAGCAGAACCATCATAAGTATGCCGCTAATGCATATTTGAAAATACAGGCTCTTCAAACTAAGAGCAAAAGATCGAATCAGTAAAATGCATAGTTTTAAGATTTAAAATCCTAAAATTCATTTTACGAAGGTACAAAGCACTCTAGATGGTCTTGCCAAACTAGACGTAAAACATATTTGCTTTATAAATAGTAATTTAAGACTCGAATAACTCAATTAAATCTTGAACAAATTAACTCGATCGGATAATTTGAGTACAGTACCAGAAACTGAGTATGAAGCACGTAGAGTGCGGTTTAATGACATTTCAAGAATTTTCAGCATCTGAATTGGGTTATGTATAATTTTCCCGATGCCCATTTCTCAGCAGGCCATCACAAAAGGTAATAATTTCCTAATAATTTGTAGCTGCAACTAATAAAATTCCAACCCCAGCTTTATATAATGCCAGTTAAATGGCTACTGTATCGGGAAGCAGCAAAGCTTTATGTGAAACTTATATATATCGACATTATGCGTAAGTCTAAAATATTTGTAAAATGCAGACATATCATGTTTATTGACAGTTGTATCATTGTTTTAAATGATCAATTGTATATTTGAATTCCATTTTAGCGGGAATTTTTGCATTTGTTAATAAGGCTTGTGTTTAGCTTTGCGCAAAAACTACCGTATAGGCGCGTAATAACGCGCAGGGGCGCGTTATTTCGAACCCCTGCGCGTTATTTCGGGACGCGCATGCGCGATAATTCGAATAATTATCCTAATTTTGAAGAAAAATGTTACAACTGTTAAAAGCTTATCTGAGACTATATATGTGGGGCGCGTTATTTCGGAACGCGCATGGGCGTTATTTTGAGTCAAATATGCGATTTTCAAAAAAATGGAATTTTCGAAATAACGCCCATGTGCGTTATTACGCGCCTATACGGTAAATTTGCGCATATATCAGTGCTCCCCGTATATATAACGCGCGTATAAATTTTTTCTTAGTGCATATTTTTTTTGCATTTGCGCCAATAAAAATTTTTTGAATTTATAACACTGGCAACAACACAGGCTGACCGATCACCGCCAAAACTACACAAAACAACCAACAAACCACCCTGTATGTTCGATACGTAGAGGCTGTAAGATTTGGCAAGGTAAGGTGTATCGGATATATGGTAGGGACAAAAAACGACATAAATACGATTCATACAGTCAAACCTCTCTATAATCACACACATGGGATTCAAAATAGTGTGATTGTAAAGAATTGTGACAATTATAGAGGTCAAACTCATTATAAATAATAATAGACTGTTTTTAAAAAAATGAGTTTATAAAGAAAATGTGCTTATATAGGAGGTGACTATAAAGAGGTTTGACTGTACAAGAACACTCGTTATTCTTTATTAAGGGCAAAACAAGCCCATTTTATAGCTAATTTACATGCGTAAGAACAAAAAGAACGCTTAGGCCCAAACCCACCACGCCATTTCTCCATCTTTTCACGACATCAATCGTTTTGCCTCCTCAGGCTTACGAATGTTTATTTGTCTCAACACTGCCCAAACCTAAGGTGTTGTGGTTTTGGGCTTCGTAGGAACAATTTCATCACGATTTACTTGGCGCATCGAAAGGGGACCTGATCACGTTTTCAGGTCCCGCGACGGCGAATTTTCTGCGGCGGATTTCGGCGGGTTTACCACCAGCGGTATATTTAATTTATTTAAAATAATGTTATTCATGGTATTTACTTTTTAATTTCATTTTAGTCTGCAAATACGAAGAATTTTCATTAATCAGAGTATTTAAAGCAAGCATTTTATGATATTGATTATTTAATTCATTTATTGTATTAATTGAGAATATAAAGAATTTTTGTTATTCAAGTTATTAATATTAATATTTAATTTCATTTACTTTACAGCACTTAGCAAATATTATTAATCTAAGTATTAATATAAGCTATTTATGAGTATTCACTTTTAATTTCAATCGGTAAGTGTAAATAAATATTCACTAATCTAAACGTTTAAAATAAGCTATTCATAATATTTGCTATTTAATTATTTTACTCGTGTTAAATATTAAATTTAAGCTTGTTCATAACTATTTAAATATTTTTATTTTATTTGTATCCGGTCAATTGAGGAGCATAAAAATATTTACATGTTGCATAATAATGCTATGCATGGAGTTAGCGCATAATATTTCCGACCCTTTAAGGTTTTTTTTAATTGAATATCGATTATTCCAGAAAACTTTCCGTTCCTGGTTTTGCGTGATAACGTCGCGCAGCTACTTATAACGTTCTTTTTCTACTTGTAATAGTATAATCATAAAGCAATTTCAAATACATTGTACGTACGAACTTACCGTGCTTTATAAAATAGTCTCACTATGTCTAATGAAAAAAGCTTTCTAAATAGAGTTATCGAAAAATTATGCGATCTATATAATAAAGAATTTATAAAAGGAAATAATTTTGGCACATTATTTACTCAATAGAACGGTATATAACAAATAAGCAACAAAAACCAGAAGAAATAATCAATTTATGTTTACAGTGCTTTTCAAATTACTGTGTTCATCAAATGATCGCCCATCACACGGAAATTTGAAAATTTTGGCAAATTTTGGCACTTTTTAATAAATAAATCTAACTAACATGTCTAGAAATAAAAATTTCTCAAGATTCCCCATTATATTTAGATTCTGCAGTACTGCCTCTAGTAGTACATTAGATCTGGTAGCTGGTTTGACGAAATGATGTCAAAATTCCCACTAACAAAAAGAAAATCGCCGGAAATTTTGATATTACTTTGTTTCAATAACTACCAGATCTAGTGTACTACTAGAAGTGATGTTGGAGAATCGAAATATAACGGGGTATCTTGAGAATTTTTTGTTTATGACATTTTAATTAGATTTATTCATGAGAAAGTGCTAAAATTTGCCAATATTTTCAGATTTCCGTGTGATGGGTGATCATTTGACGAACACAGTAATTTGAAAAGCACTGTAAATAACCAAAAAAAAATCCCACAATTCTATTATATTCTTGGAATGTGCTATCGTCGTGGAGTATGGGTTAAAAATGATGATCATCAAGCATTTATTCATTATCAAAAATCAGTAGAATTAGTAAATTCTAATGGAATGTGTGATCTTGGTCTTTGTTATGAACGTGGAATTGGAGTTGAAAAAGATGATCATAAAGCATTCATTTATTATCAAAAATCAGCAGATATGGATGATCCATATGGAATCGATTCCCTCGGTGATTGTTATCGATATGGAATTGGTGTTGAAAAAGATGTCAAGAAGGCATTGAGTTATTACCGAACATTAGCTGAAAAGGGCCATGCTATAGGAATGAACAGTCTTGGAGATTGTTACGAAATGGAATTTGTGTTGAAAAGGATAAACATAAGGCATTCATTTATTATCAAGAATCTGCTGATTTAGGTAATTCTACTGGAATTTATAATATTGGATATTGCTACGAAAATGGAATTGGAGTTGAAAAGGATGAACATAAAGCATTTATTTATTATCAAAAATGTGCCGATATGGGCGATTCTGATGGAATACGTCGAGTTGGTTATTGTTATATTTATGGAATTGGAGTTGAAAAGAATGAACATAAGGCATTTGTTTGTTTTCAAAAATCTGCTGGTATAGGTAATACAAATGGAATAAATTGGCTTGGTTATTGTTATGAAAAAGGAATCGCTGTTGAGAAGAATGAAAATAAAGCGTTTATTTATTATCAAAAATCGGCTGATATGGGCAATTCTAATGGAATATACTATCTTGGAAGTTGTTATCGAAATGAAATTGGAGTTGAAAAGGATAAACATAAGGCATTCGTTTATTATCAAAAATCTGCTAGTATGAATAATGCTGATGGAATATATCAAGTTGGTTATTGTTATCATTACGGAATTGGTGTTGAAGTAGACGAATATAAAGCGTTTATTTATTATCAAAAACATGCTAATATGGCACTAGTAAAATAAACAGTCTTGGACTTTGTTATCAAAGTGAAAATTTATTTGCAATAATTTAACTTGGATAATGTTATCCATGTTGAATTAAGATTAACTATCGTCAAAAACTTGTAATTAATCATTAAAGCCACAATGACCAATGAATGCCAGTTTTAGATATTGGAAATAATGTCATAATTTTTCTGTGTTCTTTGCATAATTATATTTTTTATAATGTGTACGTTAAATAATAATATTTAGCAGAATATTAATGGTTTATTTTATTGCTTAATTTTTTATTTTAAGTTGTAAATTTAATAAAGTATACTTATAAATTAACGATTAAATAAAGATGAAAGTGATATTTAATTCAAATTTTGATAAAAACGAGATTAATTTATCATGGATTTACTATAGTGAATGATACATAGAAATAATACATGGAAGATTGCATCATTATATCAAGTAAAGATGCACCTAAATTATTTCATATTAAAATATTTTACAAAGCAGTAACTAAAATTATTTGCTTTTTTATAATAATTACTTAAATCATAATATTTAATATTTTTTTAATTTACAGTTAAAGGCATAATATGATATTGTTCGTGAAAATCCTTTATTTTTGATAACTTTTACTATTTGGTGTTTTACACCTTTATACAATTTATTACGAATAGGTATTCTAAGTAAAAATGTCCTATCTATGCCCTAATGACCCTTTCCATGCCCTAACCCTAAATGCCAATTCTAATTTAAAATATTTCTTAATTCTGTCAATTATTAATTGTCGCGGATTTTGGTGAAATCGGATCATCGCGAAATCCAGGGCCTTAATTTAAAAATATAAGCCCTCACAACCCTAACAAAACCTACTTATACTCTTTTATCATAAACCCTAACCTAAATACTAGTCAGGATTCAAAAAAAAAAGCCAAAAAAATTACACCCCAAAAAAATTTAAAAATTGGAATTTCTCGATGATCCGGATTTCACGATCATCGCGCGACATTAATTAACGTACGTATGTCATTTTTTAATTTTCACCAATTGAAAAATAACCGGTGTCATTAACGCAGATCATATTAGACTTATTGTATAATAAATTATTGATAATTATATATTATATTAAATCAAAAATTACAATAAATTTGAATTCAAGTACTTCTTTTATTGTTGCATTTTTCATTTTTTCCTCTTCATTAGCACCTATTGTTACAGATTCTTGAACACAGTTTTTTATCTGTAAATCCCTTAATTAAAATATTAAAAATTTTAATTAATTAATAGGAAAACATATAATTTATAAATATTAATTTATAAATATAATTTGTAAATATTAATTTATAAATATAATTTATAAATATAATTTATAAATAC